CGGTCGGGGCAGGGGCTTGTCTCTCTTCTGGCCTGGGCTCTATGTACTCTTTCAAATATCCGTCTCGGACCAATTTTTCCAAGAACGATTTGAACACCCTGCAGCTTTCGGTGTGATGCCCGAAATTCCGGTGATAGGAACACTTAACCTTTTGATCACGGGTGGAGGGGTCGCTCTGCATCCTGGGCGGCCATTTGAAGAACGGCTCGTGCTTGATTTTATGGAGCAGCTTGAAGATGGGTTCCTTGAACACAGTGTGAATTCCTTTGGACGGACCCCCTGGAGGGGGTAGCAATCCCTTTCGGGGAATATCTTCCCGCTCCTTCTCCTTTCTCTTAGATTGGAGGGCTCGGCCTTTGCTGCTTCCCATCTTGTCCTCAATCCTCGAGTATTTGTTTATCCGAGCCATTAGTTCTTCCATATCCGAGGGGGTCTTCTTGGTTAGGGATCGGTACAGGACCGTGTCCCTTGCCAAGCTGAGCCGGAACGATGCTGCTGCCATGACCTCCGAGCAGCCTTCTACCTCATTAACCTCTTTCCAGTATCGGATGGCGTACTGGCGAAGAGTCTCGTATTCCCTCCGTCTGAGGGTCAGCAATGATCCAATGTCTTTGGGGCGCTTACTCCCTGTAATGAATCGAGCCAGGAACTGCTTAGTCAATTCCTTCCAGGACCCAATACTGTTGGGGGGAAGCGCCTCGAACCACTTCATCGCAGAGTCCCCCAAGCTCATAGGAAACACTCGGCAGAGAAACCGTTGGTCCGAATGATAGAGGGACATCATCTGCTTGTATTGCCTGATATGGGCTTCGGGATCGGACCGCCCGTCATAAGTTTTGAACCGCGGCACGACAAACTTTCTTGAAACCTCCATCTCACCGATCTCCCTCGTAAAGGGTGTTTGTATGACTTCGTCCTCGGCCTCATCCTGGACAGCCTTACCCTTTCTCCTGGAGTCTAACCGGGCTTTGAGATCAATTTCTTCCCTGACGGGATGCCTTCTGAAGTCCTTGAGTTCATCGGTAAGCCCCTCATTTCCTGGGCGTCGTGTGGTTGGGTTGAGTCCTCCTCGGATTCATCTCCCTTCCTCCGTCTAGACAAACCTCGCCGGAGGTCGTCCAGGGCCAATGACCTTGCTTTCCTTGAATGGTTGTCATGATGATGCTCGCCGGCTCTGGGTCGCTTTGGGGCCCTAGAGCTTTCTGCTTTGTTGTTTAGGTGGTTTCTTAGATCCTTTGTTTCTGCCTCCCGGGCGGGAAGCCCACGAGAAAGGAATGAATCCCTCGATCCTTCGCCAGAGGCGGCAAACTCGTTGAGCCGGCTTAGGACGTTTACATTGTCCTTTTTCAGCTGTCGTAATCTATCGCCAAACTTTTCTTCAATCACCTCCGCCAGCTGACGAGCCAAGGGGGCTGATCCCCCTGACCTGATTCCCATACTGGTTTGAGGGGTAACCCCTCTTGACCGAGTAGAGGCACTTTTATTCATATCGGTGTGATCCCTTCCTCCGTGATGACAGGGAGCTTGTAACTCGAGACTCCTTTGGTGGGGTCCTTTCCCTTTCTGTCGAGTGTTCACCATGGTCACTGTTCTTTATAGAGAAAAAACTAGGAAAACTAGTCGTTTTCCACAGACGGCGCCAGATTGTGCGTGCAAAATCCTGCACAATATAAAAAATGAGAACAGATCTCTCCCTTGGTGAACTCGAATGAGCCAGTTGAGTGACCAACCACGCTGCTTGGAACAGCCTGCGAGGTCCGGTGGTGACCTGGAACGGCAACGGGAGACCCTGGGGGAGCGGAAGAACGATCCAGTAAGACTGAAAGAGGTTCCTGAAACAAAGAAGAACAAGTTAGAAGGGCGCCGGAGTGTTTTCCGGCGTATCCCCTCCGACGATCTAGTCAGTCTTTGAGAAAGAGAGAGGAATGAGAAAACACTGAGTGTGTATTGTAGTAAAGAGTTTTTTGTTGCATACCCCTCTTGCCTTTTGCAAGGAGTATTTATACCTCAAAAGCTCATGATTGCTGTCAGTGTAGTCAGTAGGTGATCATTAGGTACAGGCAGTGTGCGCACTGATTCTGATGAGGAATGTCTTCTCTTCTTAACTGCTTGGGGTCCCGAGCAATCAATGCTGAGTCATCGGGATGCCGACGGTATAATGTACTCCTCTCGGGGAGGATGCAATAAATGCTCTATATTAGGAGCATTTATTGCCTTTCATTTCCGAGCCTTACCGCATTGAATGCAGTCTCATCAAGGGAATGGTGTAATTAATCGTTTGCTTTCCCAAGTCGCGTGTCAGCAACGGCATGCGGTTTCTCTGTCTTCGATGTGATATCATATGCCACGCGTCCATCCCCCATTGGCTGTGGACTCTGCATTCCAGTACGTTCTGACACTAATTGTGTAAGACGAGGTCATGATGAATAGCCTAAACTAGCCTAGGCTAATGACTTGTACGTCAATAGCTTATCCTGGAGTAGAGGAGGCGTCCAGGACGGGGTACACCTCGACACCGAGGAAAGGCTCATCTCGGAACCGAGGGGGGATACCGACCGAGGTACCATATCAGACCGAGGCTACGTGTTTGTTGTAAAACGTACTGAATACCATGATCCTATATGACGAGTACCTCGGGGGCGAGGGCCTTTATGCGCCGATGGTGCTTGATCTTAGCAACAGTGTTTTGGTAATACCGAGAACACGTGTCTTCATCATGGAGCATTTCATAAAAGTCCCATCAAGTTATATTTTAGATACTAAGAGTCGTCTTCGAGCAATTGGAACAATCTACACGGCACTTCTTGGCCTTTAACATTTCCTTCTACTCTCACTACATCCCAGTATCCTCTCTCTCTTTCTCCTTTGATATAGAGGAAAGACAGATTGCGGTTATAGGAGTATAACAATTAAAGAAAGATATCAATTAAGAAGCAATACTGAAAAATTTTATTTAATATCTGAAAGATTACACAGACCTTACTAACTCTCCAATGAAAAGTTTTACTCACATACGACGTCTTGGACTATGAAGGCGTCATTCAAAATGATGATTTGAAAAAAAAAACCTAAGTTTGAAAAATAAGTTTAAAAGGGACTGATTTTGAGAATTAAATTTCTATGGTGAATGAGTATGGTAAAAAGATAAACTAACTACTTTTAGAGGAAAAATTATATTTAGTCGAGGTAAATGACTTCTCTAAATAAGTTGTAACTTTTTCTTTGTGAGTTGTAAATTTTTTTTTATGAATCGTAACAAGACCCTTAAAGTTATAGCTTTTATGATCGATTATACCTTTTAAAGTTGTAATTTATAACTAACACATTATAAAATTATAACTTGACCTCAAAAAATTATAAATTTCGGTACAGTATTACCTTTGGCACCATAGTCTTTTCCATGATTTCTAATATGGGTGTTCCACATATTAGAAATGGTAGGTGATCAATCAGAATTGTGCTCCTATACTGTTGAAAATTTGTGTCATGTCATATTAACGTATATGTTGAAATTGTCACCCCCAAGTAGAATAGAACCTTTCATTCATTTAGAAAGGCTGATATCTGAACTTCAACCTACAATTTAGGCGCACGAGCACTTGCCATCATTTTAGGTTCGAACCTTTTAGAAATGATCAACACCAATGTCGGAAGGCATTGGTAAATGGGAAGGAGGAGCAATCGATGTGAAATTTCATAGTAGGGGTTGAGCTTCATCTGTAAAATATATTTTTAAAGAGTATAAGGAACCTTTTGTATAGGTGGAGAATATGAGGTCAATCATTGAGATTGTCGGACGAGTCTAAAGCTCAAAAGGTCTAGGTCTCAGACGAGTTTCCCATAGCCAATCATAGACAAGCAAAATGGTCCCCCCTTGATCCGACGTCCATGGATCAAGACTTCTTGTTGAGCAAAATATCACTTCCCTTTCTTGACATAAAGTTGGTTGTTGCCTACTTGTGTTCTATAGAAAAGTTGAAAATGGATCAAGACTTCTTGTTGAGCAAAATATCACTTCCCTTTCTTGACATAAAGTTGGTTGTTGCCTACTTGTGTTCTATAGAAAAGTTGAAAACTTACGTTTAAGAAAGTGAGACTGATAATTTGATTAAAACTCCAGCTTAAAGTTTCAAGATCTTACGAAGGTGCTTCAAAGATACTCCATGGATTTTTTTTTCCCCCCACCAAACTCAAAATTTCTAGTGCCTGGCATTTGAAATAGATGTTAGCGAAATAACTTCAACAGATTAGAAGACTTTGAACGTGTATTCACTTTCTTTAAGAAAATTATGCCCCCATTATGTTGCTACTAGGTTTATGACAAATTCCTCTAGGATTAACAAAGCAAAACAGAATTTTAGATAGCAAATTCTAAAATTCTTCCAAGAACAGAATAGATAAACGTTATATCTTTATTGAAGGATCTGTACAAGTATTTATAATACCTTAGAGATGTAACAGGGAGACACAACTATTGGGTCAAGAGAAATTAATTAATCCAAAAATAATTAATTAGTTATAGAGTTCAAGTCTAAGATGTCCCAAGTGCCCATCTTTTGACTTATTTTTATTTAAAGCCTAATCAAGGCCATTGATTTGAAATATTTGAAACTTCCTTCCAAATCTTTTCACCATCTAAATTTATAAAATTTGGTGTGTTTTTCTTTTTAAACTCTTATACTTCCGTTCTACTTTTCCAATGTGAGATACTTCACATTACTAACTATTTCTGACCATAGATATAAGAGGAAAAACAGAACATACAAAAGAGGAGCTTGCTCTGCTTTATTTTTGCTTTTCAGGGACAATATTAACAACATTATGCCCTTCTTGGCCAAAGTGTGGTGTAGGGGTTAAGTTGTACTAACAACCTCTAGATCGACGGTTTGAAGGGCTCAAGAAAAATTTGTCGAAAATATCAACAATTAAAACGATAAAAGAGACAAATCCGTTAAAGAAAAATTGCCAACTTGGACCCAAATTATTATTATTTTTTTGGTCGAGAGACCCAAATTGTTAAAACAAAAATTAAACATTATCCAAACAATCTATTTAAAACCCTAGTAAAAGATAGATACCTACAATCAAGACCCATGTCAGAACTAAACCCCAACACAAGAAAACCACTTAGGAAAGACAAAAAACAACTAAAAAACTTCTTAAAAGAGAAAATCAACAGCTTACATTGAATGAAACACACCAACCTGAAGTATTGCAGCCCAGTACCCCTCGATTAAATTACAAAACTAGGTAATACACATTGCTAGAATAGTTATAAATGCATAGAAAGTCATAGAAACATTGACAACATCCAGCACACCAGAGCAATATTGATAGAGCGGTACCCATAAGTCTACAACCGAATTCCTTTTTTGTGATTCGGCATTCAGAACACGGTGATTTTCTCTTTCGAGAATTCCCTGAGCGAGCGAAAGCTTTCAACGTGAAGCATCACTTCTATGTTTTTGTCTATTCGAGCATAGTCCTTTGGAAAATCATGTTTCTCCAGAGTTTTCCTTTGAGGACTATACGAGAACAAAACGTCATCGTAAAAGAACATGAAGATATCCCCATCTTTCCACATTTTTATTGCGTGAACTGCTTGATATGACAGCCAGGCTATGTCAGGGTTCATCCTAATGACAATCTTTTTAGTCCATGAGTCATTGACTCCATATTCCTTCATTACCCATATGACAAGTTCAGATTTTGAAGTGTTATCGCACACAGATAAACAACCTCCTACCAATCCCAAACTAATCTTCCATTGCGGTGTAATCTGAGGAGGAGAAGAGACTGTTCGAAATACCTCTTTCTCAACATCAAAACAACATATTGATGCAGGACTGCCGAATTCACCACTTACCCAATGAAGAAAGCCATTAAAATAAACACCACCATCACCAAGAGACGAGAATGGGACACTTTCAATGTTTCTCCATCTTCCGGTTCCTAATGTATAGATCTTACCTTCGATCTTGTATGAATATGGCAGCAATCCCATATCGGTTATCGGCTGTTGACAAAACTGTACCACCTTGTAATGACCAGAAACCGGACTAAATCCGAACCCATAATCGATCACCATGGGGGATCTTCTTATGTACTCTGTCTTTGGAAGGGTAACATACTCTCGCATAGTTGGATTGAAAATGTATATAGTTTCATCAGGATTGTATTGACATAAGCAGACAAAGCCGTTAACAGAACCCACAGAAATTATCTGAACATTTGGGAGGCAGGCTCCGAGGTCGAATTTCATCACTGGGTCAGAGCAAAGACCATGGTGGTCATGTTCATCTTCAAGTTCGATCAACTTGAAAACATTTGACTGAGTATGAAGTTGGTGAATAAGAAGGCTGGTGGGTGATCTAGACAGATGTAGGCCAGCAAAACCAGGGTCTAAGATTAGATTGCGCCAGGTTCTGCAGACAGACCTGCAATGGATGATAGACTTGGTGGGAAGCCTGGAGAGAATATCGACAATGGTGTCTTGTGGTAAATCAGAAAGGGACACAATAGAACTCATATTTGGCTGTTCCTACTTGAGCTTCAACTCAGGATTGAACTTCACTTCCCGCCGATGGACTGGGTCATGCGACGCCCTTTTATAACATAAGCTGAAGGATTACCTAATGCTCGTTTGCATATATTATCAAACACTTGGTAAAAAAAAATTATTATCAAATATTTAGTGGACGACTTAGACTAAACCCTTGGCCAAAGAAAGAAAATTAGACATTCAACATTGGGGGCACACGCCAAGTTGGAAAAGTTGAGATAAGGACACCTTATCAGCAACGACGGAAGGAAATCAAACCTATTTATCTTCGGGCTTTGCTATGCTGACCAACAGTTGTACGAAATAGTTTATCAAATGTACGACCCCTATATTTCAATTATTACAAAAACTACTCCTAGACTTTGAAAATATTATTTTGTCCCAAACAAATTTTTTCCAGATGTATTCGCTTCTTATTTAACAATCTAATTCAAAGACTAATTATTTGAGCTTTATGTTTTCGATAATTTATCTTCTTATTTAACAATCTAATTCAAAGACTAATTATTCTTAAGTTAAATAATGTTGCTGGCCTTGATTCTAGTTCATGTTTTTGTTGTGCTAAATGTTTTTATCTTTATTTGTAATACAATCAAATTATGATAAAACTCGTGTCTAATACATAACATGCAAATAATTAAAGAGCCATTCAGGTATATAATCAAAACTGCATATATCTTTCAGGGTCCACTTCGATTCCTTCTTCTTCACCTTTACTTCTTCAAGCCTATTTCCTGTTCTCGTATCTTAAGCTAGATTTTATGTACTAAAACTTGTCTTCGAGCTATTGAAACAATCTAAAGGAATCGTGTCATCATGACGTACAAAAGGGTGACAGTTTTATACAGTACATCAATACAATGTGAACCCAGCCCAAAAATATATAGGTGGGGTTATTCTGACCTCGTAAATTTTCATTCTCACCCAATTTAATTTCTCATTTTCCAACTATTAAACTCATCTTTTCTATACTCACCCAATTAGTAACTAAATCTATCTCATGTTATATCAAACTACTAAGTCTATCCCTTCTATACCTACTATATTAGTAACTAAATTCATCTAATGCTACATACACTCCATTAATAATTAAGGTCATGCATTTTATGTACACCCTTTTAATGAGTAAGCCCAACCCATTTTGTAACTATCAATTTGTGATTAATCTCACCCCATTAATGATTATGTTTAGCCCATTAACATGCTGATATATCTTTCAACTTTTGAATCATGTATTTGATGTCCAGTGAAATAGTAATATTATGAATAGAACTTGAATATCAAATATCAAAATTAAGAGTATTATTATTATGCTATGGTGCATCACAATGACGAGAAAAGAAACAAAAATTATGCATTGATACGGGTAGATGTCCTGACAGGTTTGTTTCTATGCCCTTCAGATTCACTTTATTTTTACAGTGGTCCAACACTGGAGATATAGATAAGCGGGCCAATTCAATGGACAGAAATGACTAGCATCATTCATAGGAAATTACATTAGTAAAGTTTTGTTTTTGTGCAAGGATGTCATGATTCTATATAGAACGGAGTTAATTGTTTAGTGGATAATACCATTTTAGCAAAGTCGCTTTTGGGAATGAAGTAAATAGTCCTCACAAAAATTCAAGATTATAATGACAATAATTCTTGGAATGAAATTGACATATCCTCCTTCCAGAAACTTCTTGCAGAAGGTGTTTTTGATCTCTCTTATCGAGCACAGAAGTTGAGGACTGTAAAATTTTGCAGAGGCTTGCTTTATGCAATTTGACAAAATCCAAATGGGTTGAACAATATAATCTACTCAAGGTTCGAATGAATTACCTAGAAACTAAATATTATGATGTGGAAAAGCTAAGGTATATCTTTTAAACTAATGTGAACTCTACCACTATTTTGTGGGTAGGATTTAAGATGTACTAGTGATTCTGTAGACACTGGAGGACTTGGTGCCATTGCATTTAAAAAAAAAAGTCATGAGTTCATTACGAAGCTAAAAAATACAGATGATATAAGGCAACCCAATTTAGTTCTAGAACCCTGATCAAGCTTCTCCGCTATCACCTCGATTCCATAAGCTGTATCAAGTAAAGAAGACCCCATGTATAAAATTATAGACAAAAAGATATAAATCAATAGTGACTCAATATTTATGAAAACATAAAATTATTACGATTAAAAAAAAAAAAAAAACACTTACCTTGTTTTTAGGCTATGTCGTCAAGAATATTTGCAATTGCAGTTTTTTGATTATTTCCTAACAAAGACTTGAATCTTTCTATCCACACCAAATATGGAGTAATACCCCTGCTAGCCAGTTCATAATGATACTTGTGCCACTTTTCTAATTATGACAAAATAGAAAATTAGTTTACTTATTAAAGGGGGTGTATATAGCATGCGGTGAACTTAATTAATAGTGGGGTGAGTAAAGAAAATGAGCTTAATAATTTGATAATGAGAAATTAAATAAAGTAAAAATAGAGATTTGTAGAGTGAGAATAACCTCATCCAAATATATAGTTATGATTAATTAATTCTCAAGACAAACTTAAAAATGACACAATTGAGCTTTGAAAATTGCATGATTTATAAAAATTTGATAACAACATCAGTATGCATTTTTAGGCCATGTCGGGTGTAGCATTAAAAGTGTCGGACTAAGAGCATCTTCAACTATAATTCAAATTTAAACTCAAATTTGAATAAAAAGCTTGATTTAGTATAGAGTACTTCAATGAACAAACTCAAATATCTACTCAAGTCTTGTAATAAATTTCGTTATTGTCCCAAAACTCTTTTTTTTTGTTATTCAAATCATGATATTTGATAAAAACTTTACTCTCTACAAATGAGTAATTCCAAAAAAAAAAAAATGAATATGGATACAACACTAAATGGAAATAAAGAAACCACCAAAGAATTCTAAAATTGTTTTAATCACATATCATTTTTTATAAATATAGATAAGAAAAAAAAAGAAAAAAAAAAAAGGAAAATATAACTATTTTGACATGGGTCTGGTATGAAGAACACAAAAACATACGTTTTTAAGAAAAATAGAAGATTGAAGAAATAAAATAACGAATTTTCTAAATTTGTGGGTAGTGATAACTTAAAATTTAAGGAAGAATCAGTGGTTTAAAATTATACTACCGATAGTATTTAACTCGAAAAAATCAAAAAAAAAATTGATTGGTAAGCTTATGGTTTATATAATATGAAAGATGGGTGAGAATAAGGTTTTAAAAATTATAAGAAATCAAGAATATGGAAGATAAAAAAGAAAAAAAAATTACCTATAGGCTTCAAATAATTTGTAAAAGTTTCGATGGTGGTTAGTTATGGAAGCCGTGTAGTAAAAAAAGGAAAGAAGAGGCAGAGAAGAAGTCTTTTAATTTTCGGTAAGTTGAAATAGTTATTGTTAGAAAATTGGTATAGAATTTGAGTCTGTTTCAATTTAAGTCTAAAATAAATTTTATCTTGATTTGGTATAAGTGTGAGTTAAAGATTGGAGAAGTATTTTGCATTATTTTGACTCAAATTTAAATTTAAGTCTATATTTGAGTCAAGATTAAAGACATTGAGGTTTGAATTGAAGGGTAGCTGATTTGTACGAATAATGCAAAAATTTTACATCTGTATGCAATCGAACCATAGCAGTATCGTCGTCACGATTAATGGGCGAAAAAAAGTAGGTAATGCCTCTTTATTTCACATATCTAGCGTACAAGAACAGCATTGATGGAACCGACTAGTGGCGGAGGGAGTAAGGCGGCCATGGGGCAATGTTCCCACTCTCAAAAAAATAAAAAATTATCTATGTATATTTTTATAATTTTCTTGAATATCTTCAATTGGGCTCACTCTAATAATTTATAAAAATAAAACTTACTTATTTTTTAATCAATCACGGAGAGGAGAACAAATTTATTGAGTAATTTAAATAAAAAAAGAATATAGACCCTATCAAATCTCTTAGAATCAATAATAATTAAAAAAAAAAACAATCATATTTGAACTTAATTTATTAATTTAATCAATTATTACATTGAATTGACGGTGAACTTTTTTAACTCAAAAAACAAATATTTGATAATGGACCCTAATATTTTTTAGAACCCACAACTAATTTAATAATTATAATAAATTAGATCAACAAATCAAGTTCAAATAATATTATTTATAAAGAGGTGAATGCCAACCGACATTCACTTTAGGTGTCATCTGCCAATCGCCAAACGCCTGGTTAGGCCACTGCCAATCGACCTTTGGCTAGGCTGGCCATTGCTAGTCGACACGGGTCCGAGGGAGGCCATTGCCATTTAATACTTGTTACTCGGATCCACTACAGGACAGCTCCTTTCAAGCTATTGCAATCACTCGTACGTGCTTACTCCTTCAAGAAGAGTTCTACTCGGTGAAGGATCAATCAAGGACTTGGAATCCTAGTTAAATACAATTCTGAACATTTAGATGCCGGTGGTAAGCCACTAAGGACCAAGATTCCTAGTCAAATTCTACCCTGTATTTTTAGGATTTGGTGACAAAATTGAGTCAATCAATCTAGAGTTTAGATTTCTTTGAAACATATCTCGCTATTGCTATAAATAAAGGCCCCCGTATACTATGTAAGACTTTGAATTCTAATCTATTCACTCTTCATACTCATCTTCAACTTCGTAGTCCCTTTGGCCACCTCGGGCCGTGTTATTTTGTTTTGCATGTTACTCAAGGCTTTATCACCGTCTTTTCTTTCCTTACGAGGTCGAAGTGTTTAGTCTTTGTGTGAATTTATCCCCACATAATTTATATATAAAAAAAGTTGAGTAAAAATAAATTGCACCCACGCAATTGTCATTTTCAATGACATGAATAATGAAGTAATCATGGAATGTTTTTAAAATATGACGACTCGTCGGAGTCATGACTATAATTAACCTCATTTTTTGTAAAGAATTATA